TTATTATTTATCCATATATATAAGCAACAGCAACAGATTAATTTTATTGGAGAAAAATACTTGTTTTGAAAATTTGCTTTTAATATGTCCCAAGACTAAAATCTTTTATTAAGACAGAAATTCTTAAAATATGACTTTTAATATTAGTATACTTGATATTAATACTTTTTGTGTGTGGTTGTCAGAAAATTTAATTAAAAAAATTCTACAACTGGTTCTTTTAGGCAATAAATTAACGAAAAATGATTTTATATAGGTAGCCCTTTATTAATAAATATTTTTTAAATAATTCTTCTTCCAACTCTATACTACCTCTGTGCACATGCGAAATAATTATTCTGATATTCAAAATTTAGGTATGATTAGTTTTTTTCCTCAGTATAATTATAATTTTGAATAAAAATTATGTTATTTTGTAGAAAATTATCACAATCTATGCCTTAGAAACATAAAAAAACATTCAGCATTCGAAAGCTAATTTAAAGTAAACATTTTTGAAAAACGTAAAAATAATTAACATTCGAGGGATGAATGCATGGTAAGATACTGCTTCTGTATAAAGTGCTTTGAAATTGTTTGTATTAATCTATTTATTGTAAATATTTACTAATACTTTAAGAAAGCTTAAATATTTTTATAGAGTCGTCGGAGAGATTTACATTCCCCCATTTTTCATTTTTCAAAATAAATTCTTAAGAAAAACAAATCTTATAACGGAATAATAAAATCCAATTTCAAGGCTTTATTTTAAGAAGTTTTGTGATTGTTTTCTTTTATTCACGTGTAGATTTTGGAGATTTTATAAAGTAGTATTTTTCAAAGGAATGTATGGTGAGAAACGTTTACATCGAGCTTATTATTGCAATGATTGAACAGGCATATCAATAATTAACTAAAATGTGATACTGTGGTCCTTAACAATGAGTTAGTCAACATTCATTAAAGAATTTTTTTTATATCTGTTTGAGAAATTTATATCTTAAAACTATTTAATTACTACCTATTAAATTAATATAACTCAGATAAATGTTATGTCCCAATAAGTATTTTAAAAATACAAATAACATATTCTTAATGTGAGACACTATTTGTTTAAAAACATGTAACGAAACTTGACTGTCATACAAAAAAATATGTGCTGTAAAAATATTGTGTATAAGTTAATATAATGGCCCAGTGGCCGAGTGGTAGCGTATGGCTCCTCCACACCACAGGTCCGGGTTCTATTCTCAAGCTGGGCAAAGTCGACTCATCCTTTCACATCCCTACTACAGTGGGTCGATAAATGAGTGCCAAAAGCTTGCTTGGGGACTTAAAAACTGAGGGTTTCGCTTCAGAGTGACATCTGCTTATGCACCTCAGTGTCCAATGGTCACGTATACTGGCGTGGGTACAGTAGGTCCTGGACCTCATGGGCTACTGCGCCACTGAGTTTAAGTTTATAAGTTAATATAATAGGAATACACACTCTTTTATAAACCATATGTCTAACGCATTAAAGTAGCGTTGGCCGGTGTTGGTTGTTGTCATGTCTGGTTTATTGAAAACATCTTTAGAATTGGGTTTCATCCTTTATTTTGAAGCACACATAGCGTAACTGGTCAATCACTTTATATTTTATATCTATTCGTTAAAAACACGTAAGCAGACACTTATAACCGAAGCGACATCTTGACGGACACAACACAAAGACAAAGAGATGCAGTTAATTACATTTTTACATGATGAAGGCAAGCAGACAAAGATAAAGAGAAATTACACCAGATGTTTACTTTTATATCAAAAGTGGTTATTACGTAATAGTAGTTCTGATTGGCTAGAATGGGCGGGACAGGGATTTGGGACTAGACGATTACGATTAAGTTACTCTGTTATTTTTAATCCAAAGATTTAAATTTTAGTACAAAGAGTTAATTAATAAAAGTGATACTAGTGGGAATTATTACACACACACACACATATATATATTGTATATAAGTCAATATAATAGGAGTATATATTTAAAAACCATTGTAAAGTTAAATTTTTGTGTTTGGATTGAGGTATACATTTGAATTCAATTGAGAAGAAAGAAATTTAAAAATAAAACCAATGTAAAAATATAGAAATAATGGACAGATATTTTATTGAATTAAAAAGTACAATTTTTTGAATGTATATTTTAATTATAATGTCATTGGGGCAGCTATGTCTTAAAACCTCTTGAAGCCTTGAGATTTTACGCAATAGTAAGCCCTACCTGCAACCCTTTTTACCGCACAGTATACAGCATATATTGACAAATACTCGTACTAACAGAAACCCATAACATATGTGCGTAACTCCCGGTCTCACAAGCCCAGGCGCAAATTAACTCGACCAACTGCCCCATTCGGCTAAATGATGGTGTTCGGTGAGAGGTCTAACTCTAGACTCATAAACGACATAATAATATAGTCTTGTTTCTGCGGCAACAGGCATAAATTCGGAATTTTCCAGTTCTTTGAAGAATATGTTCGGAAATAACACTTGACGATTAAAATTATTTGTATCAATGATCTGATTGAATCCAAGTCAAGTAGAGATGAGGCACCCCCGAAACCAAGGCCCTGTATCAGAGTCCAGTTGGTCCATGCCTTAAAAAGTCTCTGATTTGGGGTACTTATCAAGTACAGGCAATATAAATACGTATTCCTAAATATATATTAATGAAAGCCTTAACTATATTGCAATCCTTACCATTAATAGATTTATGTTAATACGGACATATAAGGATTTTAGTAATTGTAACAGTTATATATATTAAATACTAAAACCTAATGAAAAACTTTCTTTCATACACAGCGGCAAGCGAGTTTGTTTATTCAAAGATTTTATGTTCCAAATTAATTAGAAAATATTAAAGGGATAAAAGTTTTTGAAAAAAATACAATCAGTATTCGTCTTTGTGTGAGATTTGAGTTAACGTCACCGTAGAACTTCTCGAACGCTATTGGTAATTTTTAAACACGTGATAAATACGATATTCAATCGAACTTCACAAGACGACATTAAGGCAGTGCTTCTCAAAGTTCGAATGTTTGCAGACCCAATATATTCAATCCTAATTTTCATCGCGCCCCCTCCATACAATAACATAGTATTTAATTCAAAAATATTATACTTTTTGACGCTAAAGCTATAATACGAATTAAACCTCTTAAGTGCCATCGGCGTACATAAACGTCTGGCTCAGCCAAAGTGTTAATTGCCCAGGACGTATATATACATATTTCCGAAGTACGATCTTGTCTGTGCACTGCTATCCATGAAATTATTCCGAAGGCTTTGAATTGCAAAAAAGGGGACCTTTATAGTGTTTGCGAAGTATTTACTTATTTCAGAAGATTTGCTTATTTATTCGTTTCTGGTGGCATTGGGAGAGAATCACGTAACTTTTATTCGGCAGTTAAGGAATTAATTATCAAGATAAATGTTACATATATATATATATATATATATATATATATATATATATATATATATATATATATATATATATATATATAATCAAGATAAGGGTTACTTTTAGTGACAAGGGTCATCGGTAGTTATTTTGTTCTTGACTTAGTACGGTTAAATTAATTATGAAATACATTATGCAGTACTGATACACTTATAAGTGTATTATATCAGTGTAAAGGTATATTTTATTTTTTTATTATGTCAGAATGTATTTTGTTTATTTCAGTGAATTAATAATTTTTTTAAATAATCTTCTGTTTTCGGCTTTTCAATATGCTCGCGCCCCCTCGTAGAGATATCACGCCCCCCCGAGAGGGGCGCGTCCCACAGTTTGAGAAACACTGCTTTAAGGACCACAGTTCAGTTAAAGTTCAGAATTCTCCCTTCTACTTCTGGATAAAATACATAATTAATAAAATTAAATATAATAATATTATATATATATATATAATATAAAATATTTAATTAATAAAATTAATAATAATTAAAAAAACTTATATAAATGTACAAAAGAAAAGCATAATAGCAATATCAACTATTTCAAAAACACATCTCTCCTTTTTATTTTATGATAAGTCCCCAAATCTCCCAACTGCACCATTCAAGCAGAACTTATCACTCATAAAAAGACACTAAACATACAAAAATGATAGAAACATCCTATGAGCACTTACGGTGAATTTATCCTGATATGAAAAACAAACTTAAAATCTGTGGAGATAACACGCCAATAAAAAGGGACTGCAATAAAACATGTAATGGCAAGTCAAGGATTGCGGCTTGAAATGTTAAACTTTACCCCTTATCATGTGCTATCTGAATACAATGGTAGTATAGGTGGAAGCATTAGCGAAAGGAACAAAGAAATGCTCGCTTTTAGGCTCAGAGTATTTCTTAAAATACCACGTCACCTGAGTAGAAATGTCACTGTGTCGTGTTGTCATACATCATTAACTTGAACGTGAAGACTTGTCTTTTATACGGATAAAAGCTAAAACTGTTCTTCGTTATTGGATCCAGATGAAGTGAAATTTACTTATTACATTGGATTCAAAACAAATTTATTTTTACGTTCAAAAAGTTGATCTAGTCTAAAGATTTTGATTGGTTACAATTAGCAAAAATTAGATCACATTATTTTTTTAAGATTTTTTTTTACGTCTAACAAGCTTAAGCCGCACACACAATAGTAAAAAATTATAATTGAAAATACAAGTATATTTAGCTTTTTTTCAATTCCTAATATTAGTTTACACTATCCCTATAATATATATATATACACTCACACATACATATATACATAAACATACACATTTACATATATATATATATATTCAATCGTTAATAAAATACTTTTTATTCATCCACTCAAGTTCAAATACATTTTCTTAAAACTTGTACACTTAATGTAAATAGTTTTTTCAAAAATTAGTTCATTAATCAAAATAAAAAATGAATAAATAGTAATAAAAAATAATACTCCAACAGCATATATAGAAAAGAAAATCGTTCGTTGCGTGCCTGAAGAGCAATGGATAGCGCGTTGGACTTCTAAGGGAATGCAAAGGTCGTGGATTCAATTACCACCTGGGATGGCTTAATTTCTGAGAATGTGACTTCTTTTTATTATATTATTTTATTGGAAAAGTTAAATTTAATTAATGAATAAATAGTAACAAACAAAAGTAATAATTCAGCTCCATATATAGAAAAAAATGTAAAATTGCAAGGAAAGTCGCTTTCTATTTTGCCATTTAATATTGTGATTTTGTCATATGTATAAACATATTTATATATTTATTGTAATTATTTAATAAAAAGTAACTAAAAAAAAATTTTCTTTGTTGACCTAAGAAGTAATTGACTTAATTTTTATTGTTTTATTTTTAAGCAGCATGTGTATTCATAAAAGAAAATATATTTCTTTTCAACATAGAAATACTTATAACATCAACAAATAAATTCATAATTAGTATAACTTTTTTTAAGACTAACAGGGAGTTGGAAATGTAATATAGGTTCCCAACATTAGCTTCTAAAAATGAATGTGAATTTTTAAAATAAAACGTAACATTTTATTTTAAACCCAGCCTACTTTTAAGAATTTTCTAAGAATTTCTTTTTGACATATCTTTTTTTATTGAAAGTAATTTTCCATTAAACTAATTGCTATAGACGTATTTGATTGTTTACCAACATCGCACTTAAAAGCAACACGAGACCTATTGGCGGTGGACCTAATAATTTTGATCCTTTTCTAATGGTGACCGCGATGACCTAGTGGTCATGGTCAGGGACTCGTGGCCGGCGTTTCAGGAGATCGAGATCTAGTGCCACCGAGTGAGTGAGGGAGTGAATATTAACGTCGCACTGTTTAGCCACTCGAGGGCCCTTGGCGACGGGCCTCGTAACTTTGAACCATGGTCAAGTGACGAAGACGACACCTGAGCTGGTAATCCCTATCCTAAGTACCCCACCACACCAATGGTATGACATTTGAGCTCTCGTCAGATTTAAGGTGCATCGCTCTTCTACATGGCGGGTCTTCAGCGGTACTAGGCTTGAATTCATGACACGTCAACTACGAGTCCGTTACCTTGAGTGGCCGCGGTAGCCGAGTGGTCAAGGTATCGGAGCGTGGCTGGCATGTCCCGAGTTAGAGCCCAGTACCACTGAAAAACCACCGTGAAGGGGAGCGATGCACGTTAAATCTGTCGAGAGCTCCAACGTCCTCCCATTGGTGTGTTGGGGTAGTTAGGAGAGGGATTGCCAGCTCAGGTGTCGTCTTCGTCACTTGACCATTGTTCGAAATTACGAGGTCCGTCGCTAAAAGCCCTCGTGTAGCTGAACAGTTCGACGTTAAAATTCACTCACTCTGTTACCTTGACCAATAGGCTACCGCGGCCACCTAGTGCTACTGAATATCCACTTGGAAAGAGGCTGATGTACGTTAAATCTGTCGAGGGTCAATGTCCTCGCGTTGATGTGGTGTAAGTTCGAAGAAGGGAATGCCCACTCAGGAATCATTTTTTTAATTGACTGTGGTTCAAAATAACTAGGTCTATCACCAATAGCCCTCATGTTGCTTTATAATACGACGTTAATTAGCACTTACTCGCCTCCTTGAAATGATGTTCAATGCTTGATCTAATACAGGACTTTTTCAAAATTCCAAACCGTGCCATCGTGAAGACTTTGAGCTTAGACATATTTAACATGCCTAAACTTCTTTACACGACGGGTTTTTAGCGACATTAAGATTCGAACCTGAGACTCGACAGAAACAATGTCGGTCACAAGCATGTCCATTGAGTTTGAGTGGTCATATAATGGAATTTTAAATACAAAAAATGACAAATTAATTTAAGTTAATACATTTCATTCCTAATTAAAACGCAAGCAACATCCAACATTGAAACAAAAATTTGAAGGGCGGATCTTTGAATAAGGGGAAAATCTGTGATACTTGAGGTTTAGGAAATTTCACGAGAGAGAGAAAGAGAGATGAGATATTTTTGTTCAATTTTCTTTACTTATTTCTATGGCTCAATAATTACTCATTTACAATAATGAGTCTATTTAATTATAAGAGAGCTGAGATCACATCTGGATTTAACATATTAAAATTACTTAAGAAATATAAAGCTCTCTTCATCACATTTATAATAGTTAATTTCGTTCTATAACTATAAAACTTTCTTTACAGTCTTTCGAACCATTATTATAAAAGACATTTTTACAAAGAATGTGGTGATGACTGCTTTTAAGTTCACTGACTAGCTTTCAAGATAAATTGAAGTTTCAATAGATTTTAAGAATAAGAGCTTAAATATTTAATTTTTGAAACGACATATTCAAAAGCTTACTGCTCTTAGTTTTAAACTATTGCCTGACAGAAACTTTGATACTCATTTGAGTTTTCTTTTCCTCTTGTGTTATTAATATGTCAAATAATAATAACAAAAAAACTAAGTAAAGGAAAAGAGAGTTTAGAACTCTAAAAAGCGGTAAAAAAGTCAACTGTATTAGTATTATTGCATATTTTTCATGAAATCTTATATCACATAATACAAATTTAATTTTGAACTTTGATTACAGTATATGATGGCATTACAATAATAATAAACACAATGTGTATTTGTTTTAGTTAAGCCGCTGTTAGAAAATCATATAAGTTAAAGTCTAAAATTCTTATTATGACTCGAAAAATATATCATGCATGAATAAATTGTAAAAGAAGCTATTTTGTGTGATTTTACTGTAAATCTAAATTAATCAGTAGGAATTTTAGAAATCTTACAATTCGAAAATTATATCGAATTTTCACTAAATGAGGTTTTGTGTTCTTACATTGCGCGTTTGTGGTAACTGAATGGTCCTTTTCGCGAATTTCTTAGCCTGTTATTTTCAAATTCAGTTTCGTGGGTTCGAATCATGATTCCATTAACTTCTGCTTAATATACAGGGTAATTCGCTGCCAGACCAACAAAATTTGAGTGTGTAGGGGGTACAGAGACAACTCGGAATCACATGAGAATGAATGGTCGCTAATGCCGTAGTTAGAAAATGGTGCAAAGAAAAATAACAGAAACAGCAACACTTTAATTGGACAGAAAACATTATATTAAACGGTTGTACTACAACAGATGTTTGAAATTACGACCAGAAGACATCTGGTATGTCTGACAGGGATTCTGCGTGGAATACCTGACGTTCTGGAAGATTCCACCTGGCCGTCTTGCGGTAGATGGCCCTGAACGGAAGGCTTCATGAACACCGATTCTGCTGGAAGTCGTCTCATTTGCGAATCCATTTCTCGAGGAAGAAGAATGAACCCTTATTCACAAACGAGGACCTGGTTGACATGCTGATATTGTATGGATTGTAACGGGCACGCCGGCGATTCTAGCACGATCGTAACCTGAACAGGCGTGTGTGTGTGTGTGTGTTCACCTTCACACGACCTTCCAAGTGTGAACAGAAAGTTACTTGAAATTGGTTCTGCAACGAGTTAACTAGTTCTTTATGGTGTACGAGACGCCCGTTCCTTCAGTTGAAGACCTCATCGCTCGAATATCTGTAGCTGCCGGAAGGATATGTGACATGCCAGTAATCTTCCAGAACGTAAAGAATTCCGTTCAGCGCCACTGTTAGGACTTCCAGATGACTTCTGGTCGTAATTTCGAGCACTTGTTGTCTTACAATCTTTCAGTAAAATGTTTTTTGTCCCATTGATGCGTTTCTGTTCCTTTTTTTCCCCCTCTTCTTTGCACCATAGCTCGCAACTACGGCGTTTGCAACCCTCCATTCCTATGCAATTCCTAATCGTCTTTGTACTTTCCACACACCCTGCACGTTTTTCGCTTTGGTAGCGAATCTCCCTGTATAAAATGCCTGAAAATACACGTTGTAATAAGGAAGTTAGAAGAGTGAGATACCAGTTCAGGTATCCTTTTCGTTTCTTGATCACGGATCAAAATGACATGATACCAGTTGCTATTACAACTGGTATTTCTCTCTATGACGTTTACAAAATCAAATCAATATAATATTATATATATATATATATATATATATATATATATATATATATATATATATATATATATATATATATATAATATATATATAATATATAATATACATATTATATATATGTATATAATATATATATTATATATATAATACATATAATTATATATATATAATATATAAAATATATATATAAATATATAATATATATAATATATATAATATATAATATAATATATATAATATATATAATATATATATAATATATATAATATATATATATATATATATATATATATATATATATATATATATATATATATATATATATATATATATATTGATATAATATTAATGTCATTTCAAAATTATTCGTTTGAATTCTTTCTTGTTAACCATTTTTAATCTAAACTTATATATGTAGTAAAGATTTATTCAATTGGTTCGATCCATATAACATCACAAGCGAGAGTTTTTAGCGAATAAATTCCTCCACCGTATTACTGTTAATTTTTTGCTTTTTGCAGAAAATTTCCTTAAAACATACACTTTATCAATGATAGTAATTTACATAAATAGAGTGTAAATGCTTTGCATTGTAAAATTTCTACATTAGATATTTTTAGAAAAGCAAAAAGAAAAATTATGCAGAATAGAATTAGGAACATTTTTAAAATGCCAGCTCATCTTTAACCAATTTTTAAATTTGAGATTACATGTAACATTTTCAAACACAAAAATTTTCAGCTTTGACTTCAACAGAAAACACGCGACTGTACTTCTCTTGGAACCATAATGAATTGAGCCAAATATTTAGTGCGATGCACAAATTGACGGGGGAAAAGAATCTAGTTTAAAAGTAAGAAGTGTCTTGAGTGTGAAATTAAAACTTTTCAGTTTATTTCAGATATTGCAAAGTATTTCTTATGAAAGTGGAAAGCCTCTGTGATTTTTGGATTATATATAGATAGAAAACATTAAAACTTATATTATTTTCTCTCAGAAAACAATAAAATTCATTTTATCACAAATATCCAAACATTAATTATTTTTCTTTTGTAGT